GGCGGCGCCGCCCTGGGGACCCCCCGCCAGCCCCAAGCGGCTGCGGTGCCTCTCCCCCCGCCACCGAGCCGCGGCTTGGCCGCGTCTGCTGGAGTTTGGTTTGGTTTGCGCTCCTGAGCCTGGTGTTTCTGGAAAAAGCCTCTTTACCTCTTAGGAAACAGTTCCTTCCTTCCAAGCTGTGCAGAAGAAATTGGAAGGACAGGCACGACATATTTAACCAGAGCAACCCAAAGGCGGCTATACAATGTTTAGAGCTGTATTTTTTATAAAGATATGTATTTTTGTAGTCCATTAGCAGTCACTGTTAGTCTTGTGCTTTGGAAGGGAGCGCGGGAGAAGTACCTTTTCTGGATAGTCAGGACCATTTGCGTGGGCTGAAGTGTGACTAACAGTGGCACAAACCAGCCAGAGCAGATGCAGCCCTTTGCAGACCGAGCGCACACAAACAAGGCTGGGCCCCGGCTGGGGTCCCTCCCAAAGCTCACAGGAGCTCACGCAAGTCTGCCCGGCAGAAACCCACAGAGGGAGCCCAGACCATGTCTACCACTGCTTGACTGCAGTGCAGACACAGTACCATCTCCTGAAACAAGAGGGCTGTAGGACATCCAGTCTGTTCAAAAGGGTTTCCTACTGTCTGCCAATTCAGGCAGGACAGTGTCATCACACTTTTGAAACCCTGCCTGTAAAAGGCATGTACTCTGCAGCTCCGGTAGCCAGGTGCTAACCCTGCACGGCTGACCGGTCCTGTAGATTCAAACCTCTGCTCTAGGAGCCCAGCAGCAGCATGGAAACACACGGATAGGTAAAGAAAGAAAAGCAGAGAGACTGTCATGCGAAAATAATTTATTCTTTAAAATTGTATGCAGGGACGGTTTGTTTCAAGTACAGCAAATATCTAAAAGCAAAGAATGATGTTCTCCACTGCACTGGTTGTTCCCTGTTACTTGGGGCATTGCTTAAGCTTTTGATTGTTTGCACAAATTACAAATTTTGTACAGCCGGGCAGTGGTGGCCAGTTCTGATGAGTTACAGGGCAGAGGGCCTGGTGTGATAGGAAGTCAGTCAGTGGGGAAACTCAGGGTGCCCCTTCTGGAACAGCTTTAGGAACTGTGAATGACAGTCACCCAGCCCACCCAAGGCAAGGACGTCTTAAGGAAAGCAATTTTCCTAAGGCTATAAAGGGGGAACTTGCCCAGTTCTGCATAAATGCCAACCAGAACAAAGCAAAGCAGGGTCCAAAGTAATGTAAAATTAGTAAATAATTATTAATTAGGAACTAATCTTGAAGTGAAAAATATTTTGTACTTGAGAGTACAAAGAGAAAAAGAAGACATTACACTAATTACTAGTTGATTTTTTTTTTATCCTCTCTCTTACAAAAAAAAGAAAAAAATTCAAAACATTCCGAAACCTAAAACTTTTAAATTTTGAGCTAGAAATTCTATGAAATACACATTTCTGCAAATGTTACAAGAAAACTCATGGAGTTGTATTAACTATCATATAAATTGTTCTGTTCTAGAGCATGGACTAGAGGAGACGCTGGAAGATACGGTTATGTCACGCTTGGGGAAATGTCTTCATGATGGCTGCAGGTGGAAGTCATGGCCTTCATTTCTCCCTAAGAAAAATGACCACAAAGATATGAAAGGATGAGCACTGCAAGAAAATGGACAGATGAGAAGGTTCATACCTACAAGAGCGAGGGCGCTGGGGAGGGCAGGCAGCCATGGCCAGTATGACACTCAGGAATACATATTCAAAATCCATTTTCTCAGCACAATGACAGGCCCTATCCTTAATGAGCACCTAAGTGCCAGCATTTCAATCACACACTAGCATAGTTAGGGCATATTTTTGGCGACGTCACCCTGCTGGCCTGCATCAGGTCAAAGATGTAAATAAGTCTAAGACCTCCATCCCCGCCGCTGTGGAGGGCTTTGCTCAGCCACAGCCGAGGCTCCCTCTGCCCCATGAGTACCTGGGGAGTATTTGGCGTTCGCGTAGTTGATGACTGGGTGCTGCAGGGGCGTTATGATGCCTTGGTCAGGTTTCTGGAAGGCCGAAATGAGGTTGTGCACTTTCCGAAAGAGCCTCCGGTGGACCCCGGGCGCTGTCTGCAAAGCCAAAGGGTGAGAGGTGAAAGGGGATGCTGGGTGCGAACTTGGGCTCGGGGCGCTGGCACAGAAGCCTTGTCCTCAGAAATGCACACGCCCCCCAGGGAAGGAGCCAGCCCTTCCCTTGGACCCCCTGATGTGCCAACTTAAAATGAGTCCATGAGCCGTACTGCACTTCTTCCCCCAGGGCATCACAGCCTCCCTGCACTGAGCGGTTTCCAGCAGTGTGGTGATATAAGGCTGGAAGAGGGACTATTTCTTAATCACTACAAGAGAGACCCAGAGCCTGTCATGCTTATTAGGCAAATTCCCAAGTGATCTTTTGCTATTTCTGACTCTGATTTATTGCAGCCAGTAATTTAACCTCCAGCCTGGGGTTTATCGATAAGATACTTCCAGCCTGCAAATACCAGTAAGACAATCTAGAGAGCTACCTGGCACTTACTGGGGAGGGGGAGTCCTTACACCACTAAATTCAGGCATGGACACAGCCTCTTTGCAAGCCTTTCTCTGCGGATTCAGTACTGGCTTATGTGTTTGTTGAGTATTCCTGACTCTCTCTTGTACAAGGGCAGCAGCAAACTATTACCTATTTATTAAAAGTGGGAGTTGTTCTGTCTTTCTACGTTAGCATCTTTTCAAACACTGTGAAATGAAACTGTGTCTGCTTTTAATCAAAAATCCAATGTTTCTGTTAAATCCCTCAGTGCATTCTCAGAATAACTGCTCCCCACCAAAGTCGCGAGAGGACAAGCATAGGTCCTACCAGCATAGTCCCACCCGAGGGACGCTGCTCTCACCCAGCAGTTGTCAGCTAAATCCTGCCTCACTGGCACCAGCTGGAGGCTTCACCCTGGCTGGGATTTTACCATCACTGTTTTAATTTCCCTGCCTTGTTCTTGAAAGATGGGTGCAACCTGAGCTTGCTCAGGGACTAATCAGCCACAGGGAAGGAAGCAGAGACAGGAAAGCACCAGCTGCAGCTGGAGCCTGTTTTGGCCTTGAAGGCACATTTCATGGGGATAAGTTGGATTTAGGCTGCTGTTTCTAACAGCTGAGGCCAGTGTGGTCTTAGCAACATTTACTTAAAGGTTTCTGTTTGCTTAAAGGAAGGGTTGGTATCATGGGTCTGTAGCTAGCACCTTTCCCTGCAGAGGAGGTACTGAGAGTCCTGGGCCTTCAGGACACCTACGCTGTGAAACACAGATAAGGTTTGCCTAAAACACAGCGAGGGAAAGCCCAAGACCCATCCATAGGAAGCCAGTGGAGGTCGTGAGGGAGGAGTTGTAGCAGGCCTGTGTAACACCAGGAAAAACTCGCTGCAGACACTGATGTTACCTGGGGCCAAAGCAGGCTGCAGCCGCACTCGGGGAATTCTCTCCCACAAGTAGAGGTCCCTGGGGGTCCTGGCATCCTTCCTGAGACACCAGTGCTCGCCCTGGCACTCCGCGTCCCCCACCCAGCCCCGAAAACCCTCCTGCTTGGGCGGTGCAAATCTGCAGGATGCCTTACAGAACGAATGAGCGAATTCTTCCTGGGTACCATTCCCAAGGGCGACACGGATAATTATTTACTCCGCAGTAATGTGAGTCACTTTTACTCCCCAATCTGCTTCTGAGTAACCCCAGAGATCAGTCTTGTCTTCTAGAGCACTGCAACCACTTCTATTATAATAATGGCCGAGGAATTATGCCTGTCTAGAAATTATTTAATGTTTGTAATCAGTGTTCATTAACGTGCAAACAGAAAGCTAATTATGAATTAATATACAGACTACACTCAAAGAACAAGACCTTCATAAAAGAAATACAAGTTAGCATCTCGATTCCATCAACCCAAACAGTTGTCTGTATTGCAAATGGTGTTATTCTACACTTGAATTACCAGTTTCTCATCAGATGGGTGAAAATATATTTTGTATCAAGTTTTGGCTACCTTATATATGTTTTGCACTAATGATGAATTAATCTGGACAGAAATTAACGTTAAAACACTGTAGATGATTGAAAATAATTTCCTTAAATATTCTGACATTAATGGCACTTGGGATAGAAAGGAACTGATTGTGCTTGTCAAATTATAAAAACACAATATTTTTGCCATTTAAAATGATGCAAAAGAATGCACTATTGCATTATGCAACAGCTGAAATGTAACAGGGAATTAATTTATGAGTTCAAGACTGTCAGAAGTGGCACCAAGACATCTTAGTGATGGGTGCACTCAAGATCGATTACCTTCGATGAAAATCAGACTATGCAGAAACATGAATAATTTGAATATATTTCATTAAATCAATACAAACATCAAACAAGATGTAGAAATTTTCAGAAGAGAAAGGAGAAGTACCTACCTCAGCACTCCAGGACCCAGTTTCTGTCTTGGACACTCTGTAGGTATAAACATAACCCTGATGCCTGTGAAAAAAAAAAAATCAACAGGTATTTATTCCTCATTTCTATGGTCAGGTTTCACAAGAGGTACACTCTGTTATGCGGAAGCCAGTTCATCTGCTAAACTTTCCTTAAAAATAAATTCCCCCATAAAGACTGAGATGCGGGTCAGAAGCAGGGTTCAACCTACTGGGTTCTTTTTGGATGAGAGGGATTGGTCTGACTCAGAGCTAGTTTAGCAATATTCAGTTATTCTAGGTTAAGTAACATCATTGCTTTCATTCCTGCCTCAGCATTTTTTTTTTTTTCAATGACCACCTTTTACTGACACACACCAGACATACTTTCCCTGGAAAAAGAGAAGGTGTATTATTGGCAGATAGCATTACTATACTGAGATTGATTTAAATGCAGCTATTCCCAGAAGCAATAGCATGAGTGTAATTTATTTGGAAAGCTAGACCCACAAAAGCGAGGTAAATTACTCTTTGCCTTGCCCATACATTACTAATAATTCTCAAATACTGATAAAGGAGCCTTATAAGAGCATGGAATCTTCTTTCTTTTTAAGTTTAATTTGAGTCTTTTGAGAATAAGGAGTCACACACTAACACCACAAGACATACTCATGTCCGGAGCCAGGCTTCTTTCTCTACGAACCCAACACAGTGAATGATTTACGTGGTAGATTATTATACCGATATCCAAAAATGTAACTCAGAATCTGAGACAATTGATAGTAGTTCCATGGGTGCAACATTAGTTTAGATGGTATCAGATAAGAAAGATTGTATTTCATACTGCATATCTTTACGTTAATACATAACAGGATTTTAGGGATCATTCCCTATTTCATCATCAATTCTTATTCTTAAGAAAGCAGAAAAATGCTATATATCTTTCCAATTATACATGGTATTATAGTAGTTACTACAAAAATAGCAGAAACCATCAATGACACAGATACCGTATGATTGCAATTACTACGCTCTGTGTCATGGCTCCTGGATAAATTCTTGTTAAAAAGTCATTACAGCAACCTTTGCAAAGCGGTGTCTGGTATAATTTACCCAAGCAGGAAGTTGTTAACAGTTGTCACACTGCTACAACCCCACGAAGTGGGAGCAAAAATGCCTGTCGTGATTTGTGTGCTCTCCCCCCACCACTCGACTCCTACTGTGATTAAATATGGAGGTGGAAGACACAAAGCCGTTCCCCCGCATTGGGGCTGCCTCGGGGACAAACTCCCTGTGCAGCAGCTGAGACACTGCCCTCCTCCTCCTCCTGTAGGAGCATATGCCTGACGCAGCCCCACGATCCCACCACAACTTCAGCCACCATCATGTTAACCAAGGGAGCATTTTCCCCAGAGACACGACTTTCCACCTGGCACCAGATAGACATGAAAAGTGGCTGGCCGTGCTCACTTTATGGAAACCTAAGGAAGAAGACAGCCGCCACTACCCCACTTCTTCCCCCAGCAAGCTCAACTGCTGCAGTCCATCAGGGATTTGGCGGGCCCAGAAAGGGCCTTTGGGAAGAGATGTAAGCAACCTGCTGTGGCGGCGGGAGGCGGGAAGGATGTGGAAGGACAACACTGTTCTCCTCTCCATGCCATGGCACCGCGGTCACTGGTGTTTGAGGGCACAGTTCAAGCCCGGTTGCTTAAAAGCACATCCCTCTCAGCCACTAGATATGTTCATGTTCAGGGAATCCAATGTCTCCCATTTGGGTCCTTAAACAATCTCGTACCATCACATCCTTTCTTAAAACCTCTGAGAGCTGTGCATGTATTGTCAGCTTTTCACAAGTAGCTGATGTTCACATTAATCTTTTCTTCTTAGAAATCACGAGGGGCTTTCCTGCACCTACTACATATGTAGCACACCAGCCAATATATGGTTACTGAAACTAGGATTTTACAGGCCATAGTGTACTGGGAAACACCAGAGAGGTCCTGGCATTTTGTTCCCTCTCTTTGAAGTGGGTATTTGACCATCTTCACAGTGATTTTTTTTCAAGCCTCAAAACTAACAGAATCAGTATGTAAAAATCTAAATCTCACTCTCTTGCCTCCTGTTTTTAATAATACACTGTGCATATTACCCATGCTTGTTCTTGGTTGTCCCAAAGCATTCTGACTGCTTCAAGTCTCTTTAAAATCTGATTTTTTCCACAAATGGCTCAGTTGTCTGGAAAGCTACCATCTGTTGTTTCTTTCATCATTTTCTCTACCCAAGAGATTGCACGATTTGAAGTGGATGAGGGGCTGGGGTGCTGCCCTGACTCTGAAATGTCTGATGGCTTTCAGCACTCTGCCAGAAGGGTTTACTAAGCTGGACAAATTGAAAAATAGAGGTCAGATAAAGTAATATTCAAGGCCAAAGCAGGGTGAGGTATAAGATAGGCACCTATCCTGTATTTTTCAAAAAATTCCACTGTCAAATATTTCAACCGAGCCCAGAGAAAGCACAAAGGATAGCTCAGATTAAAAATATATATATATAACGAGATATACAGAAAAAGGAAGAAGAATTTGGGAACATGGATGCTTTGAGCACAACATGAAGAATGGCAGGAGTGTGACATTGGTACCCCAGCCTTGCAAGGGACAAGTGAGAGCTCTCCACTCACCTGGCAAATGTACATTTTTTTTTCCCAGAGGAGGAAAGACTGAAAGACCTGACGGGGTTCGATGCACTTAAGCTGAAAAACACAACATCATCATCTGTTGTTGGCTCTGAAGCCATCAGTAAACACAGCCACCATGTAGATGGGAGATGGCCCAGGACCACCACACCCCCTTCTTCAAAGGAAATGCACAAAGGAAAGTGGACGCATTTCCTCAAGAAGGTGAACAGCTAGATCTTCCCATCTAACTACTTTCCATTGGGATCTTTGTTTCCACAAGATGAATTACAGCTCTTCTGATAAGTACTCTCCTAACGAATATGATCTTATCAAAACTTCCTGTTAAGCAGGAGGAACTTACTTCATTACCACTTCAAAGTGCTTTTTACCTTCCATGTGCGAGTGACATGATTTTGATGAGCCAAGTTCTCTTTACAGCTAAACGGGCACAGCCTCCCGTGAGAAAGGTTTTTATGATTTAAACTACCCAACCTTTACTGAGATCAGTGGGGACTGAAGGAAAATCAAGATGTTTTTCTTAAAACGAAAATTAAATACGAAAATTAAATACAAAAATTAAAATTGAGATTGTACAGAACATTACTTTCCAAAGAGCAAAACATGTAACAGTGGGCAAAAACAGGTGGAAAAGTGCATTTACTGCAGCTTAGGTCTCAGGAGACGAGAAATTCCCCAGCCACCATGAGGGGACAACTCAGTTTCCCACATTTTACTCAATTCATGGCAGAAAAAAGCTCCTAGTGTGACACAATGTTCCTATATGTGGTGTGGCCACGTAGCTAAAGCCAAAACCCAAACACTATGTGGCCTGGGCCCAGTGCTAGTCACTTGGGGCCTCTCACACAGCTTATGCTTTGAAGCCATTACCTGATGAGATGCAGGCCAAGCCCACCTCTCAGTGACCTGAACTCCTCTCTCTGCTGGACAAAAATCAACAGGAGATGGACACATGTCACTGAGAGAAGGACTTCAGAGAGCACTCCTACTGTGACATGGGTGTACCAGCATATCTTGGAGGAGGACCAGCTCTTGACACCCAGGGAAAGACCTAACAAAGGGCTCCCCCATCCCTTCATCTGGCCGAAGTACGGCCACAAGCCTCACTCACAATTGCAAAGCTCCTTTCATGCCAGTGAAGCTCAAGGGACGGGAACAATCGTGAATTAACAGCTTGTTGAACGAGGCCCTATAAATGTTTGATCAAAGGCAAAAAATGCCAAAATGCTGATGAGGGGAAGCAGAAAACAGCCATTGCTGTAAGGACAATATTGGATAGCGCTTACGAAAGAGTGGTTTGGTCACCACTGATGATATTTTTATGTCATCTCACATATTTTTTCGTCTCCATAACAAAGGATGTGTTATACCAGCTGGGAACTTCACAATCACTGCCTCTGTTGCAATACCATCACTGAGAAAACTTTGTCAAAAGAAAAATCTAGAAAAAGTTGCTGTTACAGGAAAGAGTCCACTTTATATTATAGGCTTTTTTCTCTATAGCTAGATAATTCCTCCCAAAGAGCTACAAAGGCATCATTCACAGATGACATACTGAGACAACATCTGTCTACCTGTCCTCTCCACTCCTCCTTTTCAACTGTGGTCAGACTTGTTAAAGCCGCGTTTACTTTAACAGGTGAATAATTACAATCTTCTGCACCATTGAAATAGCCAGAGGATATTAGCCGCATGCTGCAGATTAAAATTAACTGTGACATTTCAGCTGCATGGTATATTTTAAAATCTTTTCCAAATGTTTTGTATCTCAGTTGGGAAATTTTATTAAACTAATTTGTATTCATTTCTGGGTCCAAAATGGAACAAATATAAAGGGAGAAAGACAGAGAGACAGGGGAAAGCCATGTCAGCAATAAATGACATCAATTTCTTCCTCTTAACATAGCTTTCTCTTCTGATGTCTGCACTATATCAATCAGCTCTTCATACTTGGTATATTTGCATCCTGACCTTACCTTGGAATTTCACTTTACATTATTGCTTAAGAACCAGACAGTGGTGTGGCCTACAGACAGCGGTCCTGAGCATTATATACTGCCCATACTCAGTTTCTTATAACTTTGCCACATTGCAGCCTTTCGGACTGAAATTTTGTTTCTGAGGTGTTTGCCTCAACATTATTTAGGGATGGAGAATGCCAGAAAAGGGGACGTGTTAGGCAAAACAATGCTTTTCCCACATTAAAAAAAAAAAAATAATCTTCCAATTGTTGGGGGTTTTGTCCAGGTTTTAGGGTAAGATGTAAAATTTATATGAAGGAAGGTATAGCTCTTGCAGCCTCCAAGAGAAAGCGGTGGTGGCTGTCTAGGCTGCAAGACAGATGCTCTCTAAAGGTTGTTAGCAGTTGTAGCTGC